TCCATTGGTCTAGGTGCAGTACAAAAGGAATGTTTCTGTCTTGGAAGCATTCATTGGCCTGTTGGAAATGGCCAGACTGTTTGGTGGTAAGGGGTAAATTGCTGCAAAAACCAGGGGATCTTACATTACAGGAATAACCTGTGTGAGGTGATTAGAATTGTGAACATACATAAGCCTGCAAGAACCTAAGCAGTGGAGGCAGCAGGAGCAACCCGAAGGCTTGGACGGAAAGAACTGGTTAATGCCCCTGCTCGCAGATGTTGCAGGGCCAGCTTCTGGCTAGAAGGAAGATGGACTGATCTTGCTGCTACTACTGAGTTTTAATAAATATCTCTATAAACTGGAAGATAAGCCCTGGTTTAAGTCTTTCCCTGCCTTTTTATCTTTCTGGATTCATTTCCAGAAGTACTGGATTTACTGTCTTTGCTGTAAGTACCTTCACAGAGAGATAAGCATTCATAATCTGCAGAGATAATATATACTAGATTGAAACTGTTCCAATACTGTGCCTGCCAGAGGCCAGACTCAAAGATAAAGAGATATAGAGCTTGTTCATCACTCCCTTGTACTTGGCTGCAAGGGAGTAACTACACCTGCCCAGTGGACCGTGTAGGTATTACAGATTTTTGATCTTTCTGAACCTGCACTGATTTAGTGGTGAAACATTTCATTATTCTTTCTGTGCCAGTAAGAGAGAAGGGTGTACTTCTATAGAAGTATAGTTTTAGCTTTACATTTTCTTTACATTTTTTGTTAAATTCTCAATTAACACACAGTTAAATTGCCTTATGACTTGTTTAGCTTGCTGTCAGTTTTGTAAAGTCCCCCAGTGAAATCATGCCGAAGTGTAATAAAATCACACTTTAGCTTGCAGTCAAGCCAGATTTATGTCCATTTAACTTGCACTTCAGCCATGCTGTCTTATGACAGCTTGAACAGAGACCGGGGAGAAACATAATGAGAAATTGTCTCCTTCCTCCCTATTAGTTAGTTACTTGACATCTGGCTCAAATGTGTATTACAGGCCCCTCTTCAGGCCTTCTTTCTCTCCTTCCAATAAAAAAGTCTGCCTTTTTCAATGAGGAAAATTAATCTTTTTTTTGAAGTCTGTAGAGTATCTCGAGTTATAAACCATCTTTTCCAAAGGAGAGGCATTTTAACATCTAGCCCTGACAGCTTCCATGCACAGCATACTTCTTGATTTCGTAACAGGAGGAGATTAATGCTGCCCTTCTATTATATGCTTTGGGATCTGTGTGTACTCCTCTGTAGTCAACCTCTTCTTGAACTGCTGCTTATTAGCACTGAAGGCACAGACGGCTTTGTGTTTGCGCAGCTCGGCTGAAGGAAGGGGAGGATGGCACAGATAGCGACATAGACAGTTCTGAGCATGTCTTTGTACCGAAGCAAAGCTCCAGCTGGTTTATTAATTGTTTTTACAGGAACATGAGTAATTCTACAATAGATAGCATACCCTGCTCCCTGTAGGCACAGCCTAAAGCATGTGTTCGGTCCTGAGGAATGTGGAACTTTTTTGTAGAAGTTTGGGCTGTAATGGGTAACCGGCCTTTTCTTACCACCAGACTGGACTATCTATAGTTAAAGACATAACAGTCACAGTAAAACAGTAGAATGCTTCTAAACAGAGTAGAGAACCTAGAATTAAAGACCACTGTCTCATTCAAAGTGCTGGATGAGTATTATCTGTATAGTGTGTTATTATTCAGTATGTTGTTTTAGTTCCTCGTTCATGTGAATTCATGCTTTGTTACAGTGGCCAACTCAATCCCTGCTCTGGAGGGAGAGTTTTCAATTTCTTTCTGAGCTGGTGAAATTTTATCACTGCTGTATCTCACAGTTTCAAAAAAAAAAAACACCCTATGTAGCTTCTGTGCAGTATCCTGTTCAACCCTATTCTGTACATAGGGGAGAGTGTTAAAAGTAACTCCACTGGACTTAGGTCTGTCTGACATGACTCAAACTTGCTGTGGTTTGAGGTTTTTTTTTTCTTCAGGGAACTGAGAGTATGAAATACCATTATAAATTGTAATCACAGCTGGCCTCAAATAGTAAGCCACAGCTGGGAATCCTGAAAATCAGACTGCTGGATCCCAAACTGGGCAATCAGTTAGGGCTGCACCCAGGTGGCTGTGTCAGTAGTCAAAGAGGACAGCAACTGAGAAGTAGGCAGGAGAGAGCAACAACCTCAGGTCAGCCCATGGTGGATGAACAGTGTGTGACAACTTCTGTAAAATTCAAGAACATCTTGCCCTTAGTGATTACCTGTGAAGTACAGTTACTGGCTCTGCGCTACAAAGTAGTAGTTTTAATGTGCTGTCAGATGCTCCCTGGTGCAGCTCAATCCCTGCTGCTTCATGGTGTCTTGGAACATCCTGACTTTACGTAGGAGGAGGTCTGACTTCATTCGGCTCCCCCCCACTACAGAATTTCCTTTGCAGGAAAGTGGGATGCCTGCAGGGGGAAGGACCTGCGGAGCTGAGGAATGCGTCCTCTTGGCTAGGCTGTGGCTGATGGGGAAATCCTGAAACCAGGACTTACATGGTCTGCATGGTGGGATTGAAAAGCACAGTTCTCTCTTTATTCCTTGTGTGTGCCTCAGATATCCATCACAACATGCTTTCCAGTGTCAGTTAACCGAGCACCTGCCTGATTCCCTGATCCCAGAGGTGCCACTGCCTGGTCCTCTAATTGCTTTGTACCAAAAAGGCTCAGAGTGGACAGGCTGAAGAATTCAGGTTTAGGATGCTGAAATGTTTCTGTTGAGTATGTGAAGTAATTTTTTCTGAATGCTTGCCTACTGTTGGGTTTCCTGCTGCTACCTACCCACAGTGTCTGCTAGGTGTAGCTTTGTCACTCCTACAATTTCTGCTCTGAATCCTGTAGGTAATGTGAAGTCTGTGGAAGAAGAAGTTGCTAGATTTTTTCAAGATCGAGGGTATCTGTACAGTGAGAGTTTCAGATACATTCAGTAAGTAATGAAATAAATGTGCAAGGATGAAAAACCTCTGGAGCTACTAAGCCCAAAGATAGCTCTTCCCTGCTCTGGATATCCTTGAGCCATGGGTTCCTCATAGAGGTGTGGATACTCTAGGTGGTATTGCTAATTGTGCTTAAAGTCCTCTTTAAGTGGCTGCTGTTTACTTCTGTTGAAGGCAGAATGCTGGAGAAGCCATCCTGTAGTCAGCTCCATTGCTGTAGCATACTGCAGGAATGGCCTCAGCAGGTCAGACAAAAGTGCTGCTACTTCTGCCCCAGCGTTGGTCTTCAAAGTACATAAATTGTCTTGGCTAAGCTTCAAATAATAGCATGTCCTGAAGCAGACACAAAGGTAGGAAAACTCGAAGGCAATTGATTTTTGAAGTGTGGTGAAGGTTACTAAACATTTGCAAAATGCAGTCTTGCAGTGGGAAATACCAGCATCTTTATTTGCTCTGGTGTTAATACTTCAAAGTTACTGTGGTCACTTTAGAAAGACAAAACGTATGGAAGGGAATAAAAAGAAGTCTTCAGTCTTGAAGGCTGATATTTAGGCTTACAACCACAGTACTCGAGCGTACTGATTAAAAGGTTGTGCCTCTGTCTGCAGGATGCTGTGGTTAGGTGGAGGAGCTGAGCCTCTTCGCCACCTCTCTTGGTGTGTGCATGTGTATACAAGTGTGTGCACACACCTGGAAGGGTGGCAGGACAAGTCTTTCCTATGGGGCATCAGGGCTTGCTGAGCTTGCATTCATTTCCTCCTCTGCTGCCAGGTGGCCTGAAGTAGTTCAGTGTGGGTGAATTCCCCAAATATGTCACAAATGTCTCAAGGCTAATGGGATGTATAGGGGCAGCAGGGTGTTGTGCACAAAAATGCTGAAGGAGTGAGAAAATATTTCTGTAGGTGGCTGACATCCTGATGTACTGCATGTGTTTTAATGAAGCTGAGCACTCTTTGGGAACAAGAATCCAGTGCCTGCATGCGTTGCTAATTTTAAAATATTTACAGGAGAAGCACTAATCATTGATTTTACTCTGCCTTTTTCCCATTTTCTGCACTTGTTTCTTACATTGAGTCTTGCTGTGCTGTTCTTTTGCTGAGACCAGCGTTTGACTTACAATATTTCTAAATCTGGGGAGATCTCCACACATTTTAAGTCATACAAGCAGCAAATGTGTCCATCTAAACTTTCATTACTGCTGTATTTGTGAAAGAAAGCTCTTAAACTTTGTGTTCATAGCGCACAGAATTGATCGATGCACCTGGCTGTCCTTGGCAGGTCTGCTTGGGGCAGCTGCCTCCGTGTTAGTTCTTGCCTTTTACAAGACTTGGGAAACTTAGGCTTTCATGCTGGGAGGAGATAGAGTCAGTAAGAAACACTTCTTTCTAGTGCTCTTCTGAAGGCGACCACCTTCAGAAGGGTTTTGAATGTGTATATTTTAATTTCTTACTTTAGCTGAAGTTCTGAAACTATGTATTTTATGGTTAAGGAAAATTAAATGCTCTTCCGCTCCTGGGAAAGCCTAGGAGGAAAAGAGTTTTAGCCTAGCATTTTTTTAATAGCTGCTTGGTGATGCTAAAAACAAAGCCAAACCCTTACGTTTATTGTTTCGGGGCTATGTAGTAATGGGTGTTTTCTTTCTGTAAAACTTCTAATAGTAATCCCCAGAAACTGCTATCTGTACAAATGCTAATACACTGAGTTAAGTATACAAAAATGCCTCTGTAGTTATTTACTATTTCTAGAGAGCATGGGATAAAAGGATCTCTTTTGACTGAACTTCAGCTCCCACACATGCTTTTCATTCTGACCTGGTGAAATGGGGAGCCTTTCGTGGCAGGTTTAGGCGACTCTCTGCAATCTTCCGACTTCTGGTTTGGCTGCTGCTAACTGGAAAAATTGACTGGGCAAAATGGTGAAGAAGTTGAGCCAGCAGTTGCCACAGTGACAGTTGTCCAATATAAATATCTTACAACTCTTCTGTTTATCATCTGTTTTCAGGGCAGTTTAAGCTGCTGGAACAAGACCGAGATATTAAGGAGCCAGTGCAGTATTTTAACAGTGTGGAGGAGGTGGCTAAAGCATTTCCTGAACGAGTTTACGTCATGGAGGAAATAACATTCAACGTTAAGGTAGTCCCTGAATAAATATTTATCCCTGTCTAAATGATTAACTGTTACAACCTTTATATACATGGCAAGTGAGCAATGGTGCTGTGTGGGAAGTGTGATTTTTGGGACACGAACGAGCCTTTAGTGTTCTGCATTCAGTAATGGTACTCTTTGGGATTGTTTTTGCCATCTTAAATCAACATGTCCTCCAAGGGCTCTCCTGTCGTATGACACTTTGGGGAGCAGTGCTGATGATCCATCCAATAATTCATCTAATTAGGATGCTTCTGCCATATTTTAAACAACTGTTGTTTGTTGCCCCCTTTCTCATCCCCCTTCAGCAATGTGATTTTTATTCTCTGCTAAGCAGCAGCTGCTCAGATCACTGTCCAGAAAGCTTTATTCTCAGAGAGCACACAGGGTGAAATGATGGGGTTGTTTGTCTCGAAATTACTGCAGCTAAATAGCATTGTGAGTAAAACAAAAAGAAAAACCAAAACCCAAACGACACACTTGTTCTCAATGTGTATGTGTGTTTGCATGTGCACACCTCTTGGGCTCATGAAAGGGTCAGCAATCCCATGAGTGTAAAAGAGCTTGCTGTCACCAAACACACTGCAGTGGCATGAAACAATGAAGACAGAACTTGTTCTTCCTTATCCTGCCTGTAATGTGTGACACTACACAACGTAGATCAGCTCTGCCAGAATAGCAGAGTGGTCTTCAAGCTTCTCTGGCTTGCTTTAGTTGATACACCACCTAAGACTGATAGAAGAGCTGGGATGAAGTGGCACAGATACACATCGTGTACCCTACAGGGGAAGTTGGTTGACACAAACCAGTATAGTTTCCTAGTTCCATGTGTAGTGAGTTGGGCTTTGTATAACAACTTTTTAATGTTTTTTTCTCTCTTTCTTGCACTGCTAGTCCATAGTTTTTATAGGTCTGTAACAAGATTGAAGACTGCTGTGTGACAGCTCATCAGTTAATTCATTCAGTGACACACTCATGCCTTTCAAGACAATACGTTGCTTTCATTTATACTCTCCATTAACCAGAACCTATAAACACAGCTTTTCATGAATGAAGGCTACATGAGAAAGTTGGAACACTTTTGTGTGTTTAGGAAATAGCTGGGCAACTCAAGGCAACAAGAAAAATCAGTCTTCCCTTGGGACTGCTAGCCTTATCCAGTGCTGTGCCATTATTTCTCGGTTGACCAATGACCAAATCAGGAGAGTGGAACAGTAAGGTGTGTAGCTTTAACTTTATAGGGAGAAAAGTATTTGTCTGCAGGTTTGTTTAAATGTAAATGTTGTATCTTGAGTTTAATACGAATGTTCTTAAAACCCTTTGTTATATTTAGCAAACTGAGAAATAAGCACAGCTCACTGTTAGATATCAAATCCATTTTTAGAAGGTATTATAGTGATACTCCTTAATGTAAATAACACTAATAATAATTCAGGTTTAACCTAGTTACACAGTTATCTTGGCAGTTTTTCCAGTTTCATAGAACTCTATTCCAAGGTTATCATCTTCCAAAAAATAAATGAACTTAACAGGATTTATTAAAGTGCTTAAGAACCCTTTACATGCAAGAGAATTATGTACACTAAAATTTAAATATAGGGGAGATCTTGTCAAACTGATAAGAGCAAAGGGTGGAATACTAAGTAAGTTGATTTCTGTCCAATGCAGGGTGGCCATTTAAATGCAGAGGAGAATATCAGAAGGTAGCTAATCTGATAGAAAAAAAAAAAAAAAAAGACTAGCCTGAAATATCCAATGAAGCATTTAAGATGAGAAGTAACTCTGAAGTCTGGGAATTCTTTCTTGTTCCAAACACTTTCATGGGTATTTTTTGAAGAGCGAGCTAGTAGAGTTAGAGGGTGCCACCAGGCAGGTAGTCACTGCATGGTTTTGTCTGTGCTCGCTGAGTTCTGCCTGCATGTCGATATGCTGTGGTTATTGTTCAGCTTGGTGCAAACCTTGCTCCCAGGTGTAAATCCTTTGCTGCTCTGGTAGGATTTTACAGGTAGTGCTGCTGTTCAGCGAACTGCCTTCTCGCTGTGATGAGCCATGGGATCTTTTCCAAGGGCAATACTTTATTTTTACTTTGTGTATTAGTTGCTAAAGGGAAAAATATACCATCTTATCCTGGGACAGTGAGATGGGTCTCCCTTCCTTCCGCTACGTTCTCGTAATAGGATCACAGAATGGTCTGGGTCGGAAGGGACCTTAAAGATCATCCAGTGCCAACCCTGTGCCATGGGCAGAGACATCTTCCACTAGACCAGGTTGTTCAAAGCCCTGTCCAGTCTGGCCTTGAACTCTGCCAGGGGTGGGGCAGCCACAGCTTCTCTGGGCAACCTGTGGCAGTGTCTTACCACCCTCATAGTGAAGAATTTATTCCTAGTACCTAATCTAAATCTACCCTATTTCAGTTTAAAGCCATTCACCTTTGTCCTATCAATACTCTTATAAAGAGTCTATCTCCAGATTTCTTGTAGGACCCCTTAGGTTGGGAAGGGGGAGGAAGGCTGGGTTATTTTTGTTCCGTTTTGTTGGGGTTAGATAGATTTCTGCAGTCAACTGCTCTGGTCCCATACAGATGGCAGTCTGTACAAATACCCAGGAAGCTATTTGCATTAAGACTTAAAACCAGGAACAAAACCCCCACATCATACCAAGGACAATTCACAAAATATTCTCTTAAAAAGCAGCAATGTTGTGTAGATTGAACCCTGGACAAGCCATGAGTTCCTGTACTCTGAAAAACAGCCCACTTAGTGTTTCAGGGCCCTTCAAATCTTCTGGGATATCATTTTTTGTGCTGGGGATATAACTTTTGTCCTGAAGATATCACTAAATCTCACTGGAGAGACTGTAAAGCTGTTTAGAGAGCTTTTCCAGGATGGAAAGGTGGGTTAGTTAATTAGCCCTGTAATGTTTCTTTTCTTTCCTATCAAAGACATTGTGTGGCTGGTTGTGAACTTATGATACCTCATTTGTCTGTTTTTTTAAGGTGAACCTCTTTTCACAGTGGTTTAACTGTGTTGGCCCATACAGTGTGCATTTTGGCAGAAATAAATCTATAGTGAAAACTTTTCTTTTTCCTTTTTTGACACATCTTAATGCAGTACAGTGAATCAAAATTGATTTCCTCACTTGATTGTAGTTCTGTTTGCTCTGATAAACTCACCCTGCGTTTCCAAAAAGCACATATACAGGAGGTTGTCACCTACACTGGCAGTTTTAAACTCTTCAATAGCAACTTTCCTCTGCTTAAACAGCACTGAAGCCAGCTTTTAATGCAGCAATCAGGGTAAAGTCCCTCTCAGCTGAAAGAGAAATGAGTGTATACTAGCAGGAAGAGTTGTACTTCATGAGCTGGTTCTCTGACTTGGGAGACAGATGTTTTATAACAGAAAACTGGGACACTGTCTCACTGAATTTTGTCAAATTCCTTGAATAAAATTGCCCCCCTTTTTTTTTTTTTGGTGAAAACCTTTCTTTTTATTTTTTAAAAATCTTTATCCATGTTGTGTGACCTGAAAATATTTGTGTTTTCTATCCAGTGCTATGATTAGTCCCTTGGCTTTAATAGTCCAAACCATGTGCAGTAACTTACAAATCAGAGACCTCACTGTTAAAAAGAGCTACCAAAAAAATAAAAATCCTGTGAACTGCTTGCATGACTCCGATAAAAACTAAAAGGTATAACTCGCAATACAAAGCCACAAATCATTTTTGTAAGGACTTCATATGTGTCCAAGTGATTAAAGACTTCAAACTGTAACAAATTAGAACAACTGGAGTCCAAGATAGAATACTGACTCAGGTGTTATCAGAATCTGTTTTTCCGAGTTAACTGTTTCTTAAGCTAAAGAAACAATATCCTTGAGCTTTCCCAAAAGAACATGTTTCCTAAATAGTCATTCATCACTGTCCTGATGCCTGTCTTCTGCAGCAGATATAATTGGCTTCTGAATGTTATCAAATTGCAGGAGTCTTGAAATTTGAAATACTATAGTGACTTAATCCACTGTGGTTTTGTAGCGTGTTTGGTAAGTTGTCTGTAAGCCAGTAACCCCACAGCATCCTGGCATCAATAGGGAACAGTTAGTATGAAGGAACGTCTAGCAGCAGAGAGATGAAGGGTAAGTATAGCATGTGGTAGGTTCTGATTCTGTGGGTCTTTTGCATTAGAATTTGTTCAGTTCAAACATCTCCCAGTGATTTCTAGACGGCTTTGGAGTGGATGAGTGGAGAGACTTGCCATCAGCCAGGCACCATTCTGTGACCTTCCACACAGGTCGAGGGCACTCATCCTGCCTGACCCTCAATGCAGAATGGTGGGCACTTATCTGAGAGCAAAGGCTGCAGCTTGGGCTGTGGGGTCTGCACCATCTACCCCAGCAGTGGCCAGTGCCTCCACCCAGATGGAGCTGCTGCAGGGAGAGGCTGCAGTAGGTGCCCTGGGCTTTCTCCTGGGGCATGGAGAGGCATCAGAGCTGCCTGCAAAGGTGTGCCCAGGCAGAAGACCTCCTGGAGGCTGACTGAGCTGCAGGAAGCAGTGAGACTAGTTTTGGTTATAGTGTCAGTAATAGATGCCCAAAGCCTGGAGGGGGATCACAGGTCAGCAGGAGAGCACCTGAAGAGCAGCACAAAGGAATGAATTCCTAGCACTCCAGCCACTAAGTTGGCTTCACTGGGAGCCCAACTTACATGCCTCTATGCAAACACACATAGCATGGGGAGTAAACAAGAGGAGATATAGACATGTGCACACCTGCAGGGCTATGATCTTATTGCATCATGGTGGTTACTGCTGAGAGTTACTGCACTGGAATTGCCCAGCAGACAATTCCTGTTTTAAAAAGATGTGAGGAGGACGCACACGCACAAAATATGAGGGCACAATCCCACTATGCAGATGTTTGAGGACAATGTGTAGTCCTGCCTTCCTTCCCCTCGTTCCTTCAGCTAATCTCAGCTTCCTACCAGCTGCAGGATCTTCACACCTGAAGGCTGGAAACTGAACCTGGCAAAAGTCCCAAAGGAGGCAAGCACACTGCTTGGATGTGGGCAAAGGAGGAGGCAGGAAGTGAGCTGAATGTGTGGGGCAGAGCAGAGCCACACTGGGAATGCAAAGTCAGCCCTCCCAGATGTGTCATGAAACTGAGTGAAGGTTTCACAAGTGCTTTCTGGCTTCTGTAGCATTACCCATTTTCCAGAACTATGAGGAGATCCCAATAGTTTGCCACAAAAAATATGTGGTTATTTCTGCATCAGCCTGTGTTCTGGACTACCTTAATTCTGCCATTCTGATAGCGCGGTGCTGTCTTCTCTGTCATACATACCAGTGATACGCTGTGTCATATGTGGGCTGGGACATGCCACTAGCAGGTCCAAGTGTCTGAAATAGCGTAGGGCTCTGCTACACCCTGACAGTGATGGCATAGCAAGAAGCAGAGGGTGCATGGGGCATGTCCTCAGCAGGGGTGTGAAGGAACATGGGGTGCTTGAAGGTGCACATCCTGCTGGGTCAGTGCTGGGAGCATGGAAGGTAGAGGAAGCAGAGTCTGGTGTGGTGTTACAATTATATGGTGTTATAATTTATGTGGTGTTGTAATTTATGATAAACACTTTCTCACAGATTATGTTGTCTTTAAGTGTACTATATGGCATTAACTATATCTATTCTGAAGAGCTGCTGTGCATGACTGATTCCTAGGTTGATGGGGGCCCTTTGAGGTTCACCAAAGGCATATGCAAAGCACAGCACTTGAGATGCCATAAGCTCTGCAACAGGCTGAAAGTGACTCTGGGGAAAAAGTCTGAGGGGTACCCAGCAGACAATACTGGTGGTGTAACAACGGTGGCCAACAGCGTATTGGGCTGTATAAACAAGAGTGCACCCTGCAAGTCAAGGACTGTGATTATTCCCCATCAGCACTTGTAATACTACAGCTGGAGTATTGCTTCCAGTTTTGGAAATGGCTTTTTTCCAGTGACCTCCTGATACAAGGAAGACATTCACATGTAGGAGCAAGTCCGATATATGAAGATGGTCAGGGGGTTGTAGCAAGATATGTATTAGGAGAGGCAGGGATGTCTGGGTTTCTTCAGCCTTGAGAGGGTTGAGGGGAGATCTCTGCTGTGCTACCTACTTAAGGGGAGGGTATGAAGAAGACAGACTTACTCATCTGCCCAGTGGGAGGATGTCCTGGGTTTAGCAGTAGCAGCCATTTTTTCTCCTTCTTAGTAGCTGGTGCAGTGCTGTGGTTTTGACTTTCAGCCTGGGAATGGTGCCGATAACACCGATGTTTTTAGTTACTGCTCAAATATTTAGTCTGACCAAGGACTTTGTGAGCCTCATGCTCTGCCCGGGAGGAGGGGAAGCCGGGAGGAAGTAGAGACAGGGCACCTGACCCAAACTGACCAAAGAGGTATTCCATACCACAGCACGTCATGCCCAGGATGTAACTGGGAGTTACTCGGAAGGTCTAGGACTGCAGGGTTGGAGGAGGTATCGGTCGGTGCTTGGTTGGGCTGGGGGGGGTGAGTTATCGGTCAGCAGATGGTGAGGTGTTATATTCTCTTCCCTTGCTATTTCCTTTATCATTATTATTATTGGTGGTAGCAGTAGTGATTTGTGTTATACCTTAGTTACTAAACTGTTCTTATCTCAACCCATGGGGTTTGCATTCTTTTTTGATTCTCCTCTCCATCCCTCCGGGAGTAGAGGGAGGGGAAAAAAGGGGGGGAGCGAGTGAACGAGCTGCCTGACTGGTTTTAAACCACAACAGAGGACAAGAGACAAAAGGCACAAGTTGGAACTTGAGAATTCTGCTCAAAAAAAAAGAAAAAAAGTAAATAAATAAACCAAAAACCTAAGACAGTGGTGGTTGAACACAGGAAGAGGTTGCCCAGAGAAAATGTGGGTTCTCTGTCTTTGGAGAAACTAAATATTTAACTGGACAGAGCCCTGAGCAGCCTGCCATAACTACACCTGCTTTGAACAGCAGGTTGGACTGGATGAGTCATTTCCAACCTGGAGGATTCTACAAGCCTGACCTGATGTCCTGTGCTGATATCCATGGTCTGTTGTTGATGTTTTTCTAAGTTTTGTGGCCACTGATAAAGTGAAACATTTGAGTGAACAGGACAGAGCAAGTTTGATTTTCGTAGGTCTTTGCTACAAGAACAAAGTAAAGATCATGTAGTTATGTAATCTGTGAAACAAAAACTCAGAGATATCTGTGCATTGCTATGTATGGTATGATATGGACTGAGATATGTAGGGTATATATTTGTTGCTAATAGCCTGGAACACATTTATCTACCATGTATGCTTTATAATTTTAATCAGCACGTGGTGGTGAATGAATAACCTAACATAAGAAGAGAGGAGTTAGCTTTCTTGACTTTCAGGACTTAAATTTTAAGATATACTTAGCCTGCTGTACCAGCAGCCTTCACATCACCATAGCAGAGTTTAGTGGATAGGGATAAAAATTGTGCAGTCTTGGACTTTTCATTTAGCTTTTTCAGTTTTTATTACAGTTTTGGACAGCAGCTGATACCTTATATTTTTATTCAGAAGGAAGAATGCCGAACAGTATTTTTCTCAGTGCCAAACTAGAAATATTGGCATGATTTTTCTTTTGTTCCAGCACAGTAAAATTCAGCTTTATTTTTCCTGTTATTATCTGTGACTATATTATAAAAAAAAAAGAAAGCATGTTTTCCAGAATTTTTTAATTGAGAATGATTTTATCTTTGAATATGCCTGTTGAATTTAAATATCCATTTGCTATTTGGCTGGTGAAATGGATGCCATCAATAAGCAGCTGCTTTGCAAGACCCACGTTTTGAAGCTCAGCCAGTTAGTTACCTCTGTGGCTTCACATCTGACCCTCCATTTCCTTCTGCAGTGCCTTGTTTATTTGTGAGCCAACAGGGAGCTGCAAGTTGGCTAAGCAGGAGCTCCCACAGCAGTAGGTTGTGACATCTCCCTTGCTCCAGCCAGTGTCCCGCAGGAAGCCAGAACTTGTACTGTCACAAGTTGAAGTATCTGACGGTGTAGCTGGTGTTGTCCAGAAAAGCCTTTTGTGGGGACTTGTCAATGCTAGAAAATGATGTTATTTCAGTATAAGCCCTCTCAGAATGAGAAGGGGAGATGGAATGGTACATGCACAGAGCCCTGTGTTTCCTCAGCCCTTAACAGCTCCATCGAGGATTGCCACTCAAAAGCAGCGCTCCTGTGGTGCTTTTGAGGAGAAACCAGCAATGAGTGTAATCAGCAAAAACACAGGGTGCTTTCCTTTCATGTGGTGGTGTTTCAGAATGCTGTCTAGCCAGTGGTGTGAACTGTGAATGAGTATTACACACCATAAATCCTAGTAGTTTCCTGGGTTAGACCAATTAGTGTTTGTTTAGATAATTCAGGCTTGAATGACTTCCTCTCTGGAAGCCCTGAGACTGAAGTGCTTAAGGTGGTGCTGAACTGCCTGTACATTTGCTCTGAAAAGCTTGCAGAAGTAAATGACAACTTCACAAACACGGGTGAATTGCAGATCACATCTTACAAGAGGAAATGTTATTCACAGTGTTTCTCTATTATTAACTGATTGGAATGACAGCCTTGATTTCATGCAGTGGCTCTTCTGTAATGATACCCAAGTTTGAAGCCCAGAATTTGAACTTCAGACAGCTTCATAAAGTCTTCAGGGGTTGTGAAGGTGAGGAAGGGATATACAATTTCAGCATATATTTTCATTTGCAATTTCTTTAATGTTAAATATTTCCAAATGAAATAGTCTATAACAGGCCAGTAGTGCCTATCTGATGTACCTTCCTTTATGATAGGTATCTGCTGCTGAGGAGGAGCTGTGTGGGTTCTGTTAGGTGCCTGAAAAGAGTTTTTCACATTAAACCACTCGAATATGGAGCAGAGCAATCTTGTTTGTAAAGAGCTATTCCAGTCTTAAGGAAATAACTTCAGGAACAAATGAGTCTCTGACATCTGGTTTGCCTTCCTTTTTTTTTTTTTTTCTCTCTCTTTCCAGTACCATTTCCATACTAGAAAAGCACACACATGGCTGTGCATATGTTGTTTAATCTCTTAAATTGCAATTATGATCAAAAAATGAGGAAGGAAGTCTATGACTAGGAGAGCAAAGCAGAGGGGGAGTTAGGCATATGGGATAGACCAATATTCTTGACTTCTTCAGGGAATAGATGTCATCTGTCATTTCCCCTGGCCTGGAAGAGATTCTATCAAAGGGATATGCTTCATGTGTAATGATGAGATCACCTTTTCTGCTCCTCAGGGAGCTGAAGATGGGAAGAATTTTGCTTCCCTCAAGAGCCTGGCAAATAAGTTCTAGCAAACAGCAAAAATAAGGGCATGGGAGAAAAGATATCCAAGGGAATCCAGACATGCTTCGTGATAGCTGTATTGACACGAGTGGCTATTTGAATGTCCTTTCCTTAAAAATAGTTTATATTTGGTCTCATGCTTTCTTTAGCAGTTTCATGTGGCTGTTTCCCCTTTGGTAATATGCAGGAATGTGCAGGAAAATAAAAAAGGTTGTCTGACCGAGCTTCAGGTTAAACACCTTGTGACTGACTGCTCAGCTGTCCAAATAAAGTTAGTTCAGTTTCTCCCAATAGATAGCCTTGTAAGTTCAGTCTCAATAGCTTTGATATGATTTGAAGTCTTAAACCAGACTTTTTATTGTTTTGCAGGTGGCTTCAGGTGAGTGCAATGAAGACACTGAAGTTTACAACATTACCCTTAGTACTGGGGATGAGCTCACTTTAATGGGGCAAGCAGAAATCCTTTATGCAAAATCTTCTAAGGAGAAGTCAAGACTCAACACCATCTTCAAAAAAATCGGGAAGCTTAATTCAATTAGTAAGCTAGGCAGAGGCAAAATGCCCTGCCTCATCTGCATGAACCACAGGACCAACGAAAGCATCAGTCTGCCCTTCCAGTGTAAAGGCAAGTTCAGCACCCGCAGCCCGCTGGAGGTGCAGATGCAAGAAGGTGAGCACACGATTCGCAATATAGTAGAGAAAACCAGGCTGCCCGTTAATGTGACTGTGCCAAGTCCTACCCCAAGGAATCCTTATGACCTGCATTTTATCCGTGAAGGGCACAGGTACAAGTTTGTCAACATTCAAACCAAGACTGTGGTGGTTTGTTGTGTGCTTCGTGGCAACAAAATTATTCCCATGCATTTTCCATTGCACTTGTCGCTTCCGAAATTTATTCTACCTGACAGCCTGGTGAAGGGGGAGCTGTGGCATGAATCCCTCATCCAACATTGGTTTAATATATGCCAGGAACAGTTTGACATAGATGAGTATTCCCGTGCCGTGCGAGATGTGAAAACTGACTGGAACGAAGACTGCAAGAGCCCGAAGAAGAGCCGATGCACGGGGCACAGCCATGTGCCCAACTCCCTCAGCTACGCACGGGATGAGCTTACGCAGTCCTTCCATCGGCTTTCAGTGTGCGTATATGGAAACAACTTGCATGGGAATAGCGAGGTGAACCTCCACGGCTGCAGGGACTTGTGTAACGAGTGGGCCCTGTTCTCTCATGATGCTCTTCAGTACCAGGAGTCTGGTGACAGTAGCAGTGATTACCTTTTCCCTGAAGTTAGCGAAGAATCGATGTTTCTGCCTACTAAACCAGAACTTCCTTACGAAGAGCTATGGTTGGACCAAGGGTCTGGAAAGGCTGGTGACCAGCCTCTCACTCGCTCGCTAAGTGAGAAGAACAAATGTGACAACTACAGAGGGTCATTCCGATCAAAGTATGGTACCGCATCTCTTCCTGTGCCTGCAACTGTTGGAACAACCACAAAGTCTTCAGATGCTTCCCTACCTCCACCTCCAGTGCCTCCCAAATCAGAAGCAGTAAGTCAGGATTATTTATGTTGGTTTCTTTCTGGTTTTTAGCTGGTGAAAAGTTTGCTTGAGAATCGGGTTTCTTTAGTGAAGACTTGGGGGAGAGGGAGGTGGTGTGGATATGGAGGGCAAGGAAACGGTTAAGAATTTGTGTGATGCGCAACTTCCGCTAGTCTACTTCTGAATGTAAGTCATGTCCGAAAAGTGTATTTAATACAATGGATCATGTGGCTTAATCCTGATACTTTTAGGTGATATTTATTGGGTTTTCTTGCTCGCACAAACAAGGTTTAAGAACTGCTAGGTCACTTCCTTCCCTTGCTGTCCATGTCGTCTCTCCATGTGGCCTCCATTTCTCACATTTTCTGTGGCTGAAGTGTGTGGCATATGACCCCACTTGGAACTACCTCAGATCACCTTACTGTGTGCATCTTTGATTAACAGGCCCTTATAATGAAGGCAGCTAGAAATTTTATGGATTTGAAGTGTTTGTTAATGAGATCATCTTCTCTATTATGAGTTTATGGCTGATTTTGAAGAATATTGTCTTTGTCTTCAAGGAAACTTTATCAAACTAGACCTGAGCTAATCATTCTGTACTGCTTATTGACAGAAAATACATTTAAATAGGAACTCTGCAGAGTTCATAAATGACCCTTCTAGGGAAGTCAGTTTTAAACAAAGCACATTTCCTGTCCTAGGGTTTCTAATGAATACGCATGAGAGAAATCACTTCTCCAAACCTAAAATGTCATGGAGACTTCAGAGGCACAAATACAAATATGTTTTATCAACAGGAGCTTATGTGGACTAGGTGGAAAATCCATTCATTATGTGGTCTCTTGACATGGTCCTAAACATTAATTTTTAAAAAAGGAAAGGAAAAATGAAAAATTCCCTCAGGAAAGAGTGTTTCAGAACCTTTAGCAAAATTTAAATGATACATTCTTATGTCAAGTAAATCTTGGTGGATAATATTATTTAACAAATCAGTTTTGCAGATTTTTTGCTCAACTTCTATATAAAAAATATTCCACTTGCAAGTCCTATGGTATTTTCAACAGTGTGGCTGCACAGTAAGCTGAAACTCATCAAAGTCTAAACTGCAGCAAACCGTGGTGATGCCATCCCTTTCTTATTGCCATCTAACAGTCCAACAGTGTTCGCCAGAGCCTTTCCACCATGAGGCAGGTCTCAATCTGCTTGAAAACTAAGTTGTTTGTATTTGCTGGGTTAGTCTGCAGTGTATTGCCGTGGGGATCCCATGTCCAGGCTGTGCAGGAGTTGTGATGATAACAGGAGAGAACGCCAATGTAGGCACAAAATGCAAAGCTGCAGCCCCTTGTGCTGCCAGAGCTTCCCCCAAAAGCAGCTGCAGCAGCTTCAGCAAAGACAGGAAAGTCAAGACATTACTTGTTCATAGCAAAAAGTGTTTATATATAATGTCTAAGTGTGGGAACCCAAGAGCACTTCCTAGCCTGAGAGGTCAGGTATGCACCACTGCTTTGTCCAGACTCCTTTGGCCAGGTGCCCAGCAGCACCATATTGGGATGAGGTTCCCTGGCAGCCTACACTGATGTAAACTGGTGTGGGGCTGGTCCCACCCTCCTCCTCCTTCTCCTCCTCCTTTCCCAGCCACATGGTCCTGGCTCCTCTTTTGTGCTGGCTCTGGCACTCGGGCAGGCAGCCAGGTCTGGATCTGCAAAATGATTAGTTTCCTGCTGATTTCTGCAAGCTGAACTGCTTCAGTGCAGGGTCAAAGGAGCACTGGAGCTAGTGCCAGGGAGCGGGCAGGAGAGCGAGGGGGGGTCAGGGAGGAAGGCTGCACTACAGCAGGGTGAGGGCAGCCCCTGGGCAAGGGGGTGCTGGCCCCCTGAGTCATGGCTGTGGCAAGGGTGACTCGATGTCATGGCTGAGGCGTGGGTAATGGGATGCTGGGAGAGCTATGGAGCAACAGCACAGCATCAATGTGGACTCTCACACTTGAGGAAACCTCATGGAATAGTGACTCCCTTCTGGGGCAGCAGGGTGGTGTTTGGGAAAGATACATGCATTGTCTTTTAAGGTCATTTTTGAAAAACAACAGTTCTGTCATGTGTGTCTTACATTACTGAGGTAATGTGTGAGTGCTGTCAGCAATTTCAGTATTGCTTTCAAGCCATGCAGCATGTATCTGTTAAAGATATTAGCTTCCATTTAGAAGTGGGCAGGGGGTGTAAGCCCATAAAACCTAAAACAGAATAAAAACCCTATGTCTCCATAGATGATAATAATTTAGACTGTTTTGTTGCTTCCTGGAACAGCTTTGGAATGAGTATCAGTGACCTACTGAATTCATCAGTGGGTTGGGGCCAAGGAGATGTTTGCATGGTTTCCATGTAGGGTATTTATAGAATAAGTAGATCTCAGGAGCGGCTGGTGAACATGCTGTTTAGTCATCACTCCCCCTAGAATGATATTCCATAGCCTTTCTGTATAAAGATTGGCTGGCAATTGTATTTTTGCAAGGACTAAATTTAAAATGTGTGTACAGGAGCTGCTTGCAGGAGGGAAAAGGACATTTGGGTATTTCAAAAGCTGTTCTGGTTTCCTTTTCTCTGGCAGGATGAAGCATTCTGATATATCACATGTATTTTGTAAATACCTGTCAGAAAATTGAAGTAGCTTGAAGGCAGACGGATGGGGGGGAAATGACCTCTGAATTAAGGCCTGTAAAGTAGAAATTGCTTCAGTCCCCCACCACTCATTTGCATAAAATCAGAGGCTGTTTTCCTGATTGATTGAAGGCAAATCCCTGATGGAGTATGCTGGAAGTTCAGGTGCCTTTTGGCAAGGAGCGTTACGTTCATGGTAGTGCCAGAGATAGGATGGGTTTCACCTGGATGACCTCAGAAGTGGTCACTACAATGCCCAGATTCAGGAGTGACAGGGTCCAGTGGTGCTGGCAGTGCTTGGAAGGGCACCAAGGAAAAGGAGCAGAAGTCTTCAGATCAACGTAGCACCTCACACCATCAGAAAGAGGTCACCGTACCCAGGTCACAGGAAGGAGTGTTGGAGTGTGGGAGAGCTTGGACAGTGACAAATAAAAGACATGCAATGCAAATGCACTTTATCTGTGCCTGGCAGCTGTATGACATCCAGTGCTTCTGGGTGAAATAATATTTCCTGAGAGCAGCAGCCATCGAGGTGATCATCATGTCGCACCATGGCTCTTCCCCTCTTCTGTTTCATTATCGTTCTCTTGGACCTAGTGAGGGCAGCTCCCCTCTGAAGTTTCCCCTGGCTCTTGTCAGTTTAATCTGCAGAATCTCTCCTTTTTATTCCTCTGCTGAGTTTCCAGAGGGCCATGTCTGGCAGCTGTAATCATGGTCTTGTGACAGGGACCAACTGGGACTGTAAACCAGTATTATTTATGGCCTTGTTCTGATCTGCAGTCTTGGTCAGCAAGGGAGCTTGACATAGTTTGTTATGCCAGCACCTTTGTTTGCCAGCAGTCTTCCCAGGAAAGCATCCCTTTAAGCCCTTGACTGTCTGCTGTGCTCCGAGAGCTCCCCATGACTATATATTCAGTGGCATGCACTATTACATTTACCTAGTCTGACTTGGGGGAAAAAGATTCCAAAGTCCTTAGGCATCCTTGGGGCACAGCACTAAGATGGCTGAAGAGTTTTATGCCTGAATTCGATAACAAACATGAATAAAGTTGGTTCCTCCTCTTTTTCTTTTTTTTTTTTTTCCTCCTTGAAAGAGCAAATAAGAACCCTTGCAGCAAGATTTATGTCAGTGTTTTATGCTGTTGAGCATTTCCTATAATTTTGACTTGTTTTGAATTAGGAAAAAAATGTCCTACAATGTCCTAGCCCCCAGTTTTCCATTTCACAAAAGTACCAAATGGGTTGTTGCATTTTGAAAGCACTGAAGTGGATTGCAAAAGGTTCCACATTTATTTTTTTTTTTTAATAAATCAGTTTTATTGCTAATTATGTGTTGTGGAACTGCTAAGATAACTTTCAGTTCTGCAGTGTTGCTAAATTTAAAAATAAACTATAGCTCCCAAACACAAAGAGAATTTCCCTTTTCTGGTGCATCTAAGACTGTTTCAGACGAGGAGAACATAGAGGTCTCCTCCTACCTGGAGGAAGGTGGCGAGTCCTTAAAAATCCTACCTGGCAGACTAGTTCTCAGTAGCATTCCTCAACCTCTAGCCCTGCTAAATAAAGTTGCTCTTCCAAATACGTACTGATGAGATTAAGGTCTTAATTCCATCATTTTTGCCATTTCATTTCCTCTATACGGATGGATCCTGATGTTTTGCTTCTTCCTAGGCAGACCAAGGTTAATTTCAGATAAGCAGTGCTACAGTCATGTGCTTTAAGCTGTAAAGTTGGCTGGCTACAAAAAATAGACCTAGACCTGTTGGCTGGGTGCGGTATTTGAACAGGGTCTTCTGCTCACACCTTTCAGCTTTTATGATTTGTAGTTAACCTCATCCTGGACTGCTTTGTCAGCTACAGAAGGACTGAAGCACCAGGCATGAATCCCAGCATCTGGTAAATAGGAGATATATGTGCTGTTCCTGGGGAGTGAGACAAAGAGGCTGGGAATTATCCTAGAGCTGGGTGGCTGAGTATCACTGGTGAAGTAAGTCAGGAAACATCAAAAGTCTGTTGAGATCTTTTCATTACGTAAGCTTGGTTTATTACCTCTAAATAAACAATGCTAATGAAGCTTCATCCTAATTAATTGCTCCTTACCAAACGTAAAGGATCTGGAACAGTCTGCCTGATTTTGTACATTACTGGAAGGTTCTTTTACATCATTTCGTTGCTGCCACTTTTTAAATGAGTGGCTATCAAACTACTGAGAACCACCCTAAAGAAGATTGCTAGTAGTTCTACTGGTAGCAGTGCCTTCTTTTGGACTTTTTATGACAGCCACATACTGTTGCAAGTGTATATCCTTAGCATAATTTTTCTCCTCTCCTCCCTTTTTAATGATTTCCTTTAATGGAAGAAGGCAGAACCAGATGTGTTTCATCTGTTTGAGAGTGCTGTTGCCCAGATTTTCTTGCTTCTTACTTACATGTTCTTCTTTTGTACAGGTAAAAGAGGAATGCAGGCTCCTGAATGCTCCTCCTGTCCCACCACGGAGCTCAAAGCCGTCCTCCACCAGTCCTTCCATCCCTCCTCGTACAGCCAAACCTGCACGACAGCAGACCCGCTCTCCCAGCCCTACTCTGTCCTACTACTCTTCGGGACTGCACAGCATGTATGTATTTGAGCTGTGAGAGCCCTGTGCTAGCACATACTGCTATAAATAATCTCGTAAGGTGAAATAAGCTGTCTAAATTGAAAATCCTGTAAAGTTCTGTATAATTCGTGAAAGGCTTGAATCTTCAAACCAGAACAGCTGGTTTTGGGGTGAGATTTCAGTGCTACAGTCATGCAGTGCAGCCAGCTGTGATAAGTGGAGGCATAAAAGGTGCGTGGTAGTCCAGAAATGTGTTGTGCCAACTATGTGGGAGCCTACGGGGTGGGTGTGATGGAGAACAGAGAGGCCAGCAGACACCACTGAGTGCAAAGTGAGGTGTGGCGGAAGGGGGCCAGACAGCTTCCAGATGAAACCCACTTCAGCACAAACCTAACCCACAAACTGGAATATCCACTCAGGCTTAGTAGAAAGTTGATGGTAAATTTTTAATTATGTGGCTTCATATCTTTTCCAAGAAATGCAGTGTTCTTCCTTTGGCTTCAGAAACTGTATACACCTTTTGAAGTCTCATCTTCTTTGTGCCTTGAATGTCCTGTTGCCATTATTTCTGGTATCTCTTCAGTGACAAGGTACTACATGTCTGGATATTACAGATTGATCTGAAGCACCACTGAAATCATTTCAGCCTTGATGCAATCGGTATAATAATTTATGCTGAAATTGCCTTTTTAAACCATAGTGCAGATTTGGAGCTTAGTGTTGAGTATCTGGCAATGATCACTCTAGATCAAGGCTGCTCGTGTGTTTTTATGAAAGCCAGTTGAGTGGTTCTGTCAAGGTCAACTCCACAGGAGGCTGAGCACAAGACCTCCCAGTATTTGGGGCCCACCAAATCCTGCTTTCTCTATTTGTAGCTAAGAATGTATTTGCTTCCCAGGAAACCAGGAAAACAGTGAGTTTTCTCAGGAATGCAGGAGGTTGTAGCAAGATGGACATCAGTCTCTTCTCTCAAATAGCAAGCAAAGAGTAAATGGCTTCGAGTTGGTCCTGGGGAGGCTTAGATTGGATATTAGGAAAAATTTATTCACCAAAAGGGTCATCGTGCTTTGGAGTAGTCTGCCCAGGGAAGTGGTTGAGTGCCCATCCCTGGAGACATGTGTAAATGTGATGCCTTAGGGGTATGATTTAGTGGTGGACTTGGCAGTGCTGGGTTAATAGTTGGACTCAATGATTTTAAAGGTCTTTTCCAACCTAAAAAATGTTATGATTTGCCTTGAACTTCTCAATATTTGCATGAAATTCATCTCCAGCTTGGGTGCAGACCAGATATCTCCATTTTGATAGACTTGACCTAGTGCTGCAGAAAAAGCTGCTAGAAAATGGCAGTGTGTGGAGTAACTAGATCGTTGGTGAAGTTGCTTCTCAAATCCTGCCACTTTTATCAATGATCTTATTTTCTGGATCATGACAGGTTACAGCCAATATTTTAAACACCAAGCCAGTATGATTTGTCCTTATCTGACTATAAAAATGCCTGATGCCTGACTTCAGCTGTTGTTGAGGTTTCTCTGGCATCACAGAATCATAGAATAGTTAGGGTTGGAAAGGACCTTAAGATCATCTAGTTCCAACCCGCCCGCCATGGGCAGGGACACCTCACACTAGACCATGTCACCCAAGGCTCTGTCCAGCCTGGCCTTGAACACTGCCAGGGATGGAGCATTCACAGCTTCCTTGGGCAGCCCATTCCAGTGCCTCACCACCCTCACAGGAAAGGACTTCTTCCTTATATCCAATCTAAACTTTCCCCTTTGGCACCGAGTACCAGTGAGTTAATACTGGTGGAGAACAAACAAGGAAGCACTTTGAAAATGTTACTTTATCAGTTTTTGGTAATTCCATTAATCTTTTAAGTCATTAAATGTTCAGATTTCTGATATTGAATTAGAGACCAGAAACAGGATCAACCAATTTAATTTCTCTGTATGGTTAGTGGTTTACAATGCCTCACTGACTGTCTTCTCTTAATCAAGCAGCCCAATGGCTTGGTTTGTGAAAAATGCTTTTCATTGTTAACATGCAACCAGTTGGCCTTTAAGCAGCCAGAAATGACCAGTTGATAGTGCAAGGCACAGGGAACTAATTTTGGATCAATCCATTCAAAACTATGCCATTTTTTTGAAAGCTGCTGCCCTCCTGAAGCAGTTTCCCCTGAGCTGTTCACATAATGATGACAGTTTCTTGAGTAGTTAGTTTCCAGGAGAGAGAGGTAATTAAAGCGATTTTTCAACTATTGTTTTCCATCTGTTGTATGAAGTACATATTTTATAAATTTGCTTATTCTTTTTCTAGTGTTCTGGCTTAATTGGCCAGAATTCCAAAGATCAATCCAGCCCTTCAGACTTTCTTTTATAAAGTGGCATAAAAGCTGCAAGCATTTGCTTTTGATAACAGATTACATGCTTTTGTTGGCATGTGTCTCTCAGGAACACCAGGGTATAAACCATCAGTTCTCTCAGACAGGCTGAGCTTAGTTTACCACCTGTAAGTAGGTCAGGGAAACTTTAAGTTCCTTTGAAAAGCAAATGTTTCCCGTAATTGCTTCTTAAGGATATGGGCATGCAAACAAGTTACTGTGTGATAAGCTTAAAGCCTGATACTTGAATGTGTACAGTGAAGTCTGCTTACCCTTCCAGGTAAAACTCTCCCTTTGGCAGTAAGCATTAACTTAACTCTGTGTTACTGTACTGTGCACTTGTGCACTGGTGCAAAAAGCATTTTTTGTACCAGCGAGCAGTGGGAAAGGATCCTGTGCCCTGTGCACACAACAGTGCCATAACAAGTGAAAATGTTGGTTCCAAAAGGGCTTTTGGTCATCTCTTATGTCAGTGAAGCTTGGGTCTATTGCAGTGCTGGCCTACCCCTCTTAGCTTTTACATTCCATGACGCATCTGTGGTGTATAAATATAAAATACAGGATTAGGACAGCTCATAGATGTGAGGCTGTTCCTTTTCCATGGTGGTGTCCCTCAGGAATTCAACAGTGGAAACTGAGTATTCAGAAGATGACACAGAACTGAATTGAGACGTCTACTTTTTTACGAGCTTGAAAAGCCAAGACATGAGGCTTTTGGGTATATCAGCATCTTGTCAGGCTTGTAGAAAGAGTAAAAGAACTGTCAATGCATTATTCAAATGTGTTGTTAATTCACATCTGAGAACTTCTGCCAGAGGTAAGAAGATTATTTCCTCGTGACAGCCACCCTCTGACTCTGTCAGACGATTTATGAATTTATTCAAATGCCACGTTTTTTCATACTAATGACATCCTTTCTGCTTTGTTCCTTAAGCAATGTCACAGAGAGCGACAACGCCAACCCAACTGAGAGCACACCTGTTTCCTGCTACCCTTGTAACATGATGAAAAACGAATCCAAAGAGCCTGAAAGCATGATGCCTTTGGGAAGCCCCGCATCTGAAACTTTGCCTTCAAGGTTATCTTGGCCAAACCATTTTTCAGGAACTGCTGAGGGCCACAATAAGAGTGATTTTCTGCTTGATCCAAGCAGGAGCTACAGTTACCCCAGACAGAAGACTCCAGGTACGCCAAAGAGAAACTGTCCAGCACCTTTGACTTTTGACTTCGATGGGTGTGAGCTCCCGGCAGGGTGCTCCCCGCTGACCCCAGCAGAGTTCACAAACACCACCTCTGCCTGTCCAAAGTCAGCAAGTTACTCTCTAGACTGCACTGATGAGAAAACTCTGGGAGTCAGCGATGCAAAGCAGAGCCAGTCTTGTCCTGCCTTACCTCCTCGGGCCCCGAAGTCAAGTGAAGAGAAAGCAGTTACAGACATGTGTCCCTTGCCACTGAAAATAGATGGTGCTGAGGAGGAGTCAAAAGCTGGTTCTCCAGACCTCTTGGAAGATCAATATCTCGTTAAAAAGGGCATGCAGGATACGTTCTCTGTGTCTTATCCCTTCTCGTCTCCCCTCCACCTCCAGTTAGCACCAAGATCTTGTGGGGATGGCTCTCCCTGGCAGCCACCCACAGACCTTTCTGGGCTCTCGATAGAGGAAGTGTCTAAATCACTGAGATTTATTGGTCTGTCAGAAGATGTCGTATCATTTTTTGTTACAGAGAAGATTGATGGCAATTTACTGGTTCAGCTTACAGAAGAAATCCTGTCAGAAGACTTTAAGCTAAGCAAATTGCAGGTTAAGAAAATACTACAGTTCATTAATGGCTGGCGGCCCAAGATGTGATGCCGACTAGTCATTAGTGGAACTGTACGAGATGTGCTTGATGCACTCCAGCTAATCATCACTTCCTGGTTTTTTGCACTAAAAGCCCTTTCTGTAAATAGTAGTAGAAAAATTCTTACTATGCAGATAAACATTTTTGAGTGGTGAACAGAGTTGTTTTTTTTTGTATGTCAATAATAAAAGTAGAGAATCTGCAGAGGTGTGCCTTGTGCATCCCTGACCGTTCAACAGCTGCTAAAAACTGGACACTAAGGGAACTCTTACTGCGTAGTCTGTTAAGACTTAGTCGTATTTATTACTGAACAATTTGATGCTGAAAGACACACACTGATCCAGTTTACAGTTTTGTGTTAACTGCAAAAAAATTTATTTCTTATGGGATTTTTTCTGTTCAAATGATATTTGGCAACATGCTGTGACTTTCTTCCGTTTCTGTTTAACAAAGAGCATGTTCAGATACACAAAAACATCCTTTTGACACTACATCTGAAAATGTAAAGAATTGCTGTGAAGTGCCACTAATACACTACTCTTGCAGCATATTTTTATTAACAGTATCTTCCTGGTTACCTGTAGCGTGGGTACATTTTCTATATTACTTTGAACAAAAAGAGTTAAATGTTTTTAAGAGTCTTGCTTAGCTCACAGCCCAGAGGGGAGGGAGAAGGGGGATTTTTTCTACTGAGCCACTCTGCCCTGGCCAATTAAAAGTTTATGACCTGTAGATTTCAAAAGTTGCTTTTGTAGTCGGATAGCTGGAGTCAGTAGCATGACTTCTAGTTGTGCAGCTTTCTCATGGGAAAGGCAGTTCAGTGCACAGGCTCCTCTCAGCAGAGGCAGTTCTGTGCACAGCCCTTGCAATAGCCTTGCTCTGGTGAAAGGCAACCCCTTGCGTTTCCTTTGCTGCTGTTGCAGTCATCTGAAAATGTGCTCTTTGTGCTATTCTATTCCTGCCATCGGATCTGTGTGGGAAGGTGATAGTACTCCTGTAGGATGCCTTTGAAATAAAGCATTAGCAAGGTGGGAGGGAACAGAAATGGCATATGGCACACTGGTAAGAAGGGTCCAAGTGAGGTTTAGGGCCATGCCACAGGAAATGCTTGTGATGGTTTAAGTTCACCTGTCTTGCTTACAGTGGGCTAGGAGGATGTGGGTGTTGAAGTGGGAGGCACTGTAGCAATCTAAGACGTATTAATTCGGTTGCCCAGCTGCAACAACTCACTGCAGTAATTGTCACACTGAAGTAGCAGCCAAAAGGGAGCAGAGAGATGGGAAGGGGACATTAGCCTGCTCCTGTAGACCTTTCAAATTTAACTGTTCAGAAGGCTAGAAATGGGATTAGATTTTGATAGTCCATTGCTGATTTCTTGTAGTTGGCAGAGCTCTCTGAAATGTATCTGAATAACCCCCAGATCCCCTGCCTCTGTAATACTGAATGTGAGGATTTGTGGAGGTCCTCAGGAAACACTCTGTGGTGTCCATCTTCAGCAAGTGTGGTCAGAGCCAGGGATGCTGGAGCAGCTTCACCTGCTGCTGCACAGAGCCCTGGCCAGGGTGACACCGTCACCTGCTTTCCTTAACTTTTTGATGTACAAAAATTCTCTCTCCACTGTAGGTCACATACTGGGAGCATTAAGAGAAGATAAAAGAGCAGGGACAAAAATGAGAGACAGATTTTGCCTGTTTTGTCAACCATATTGACTCATTAAAAAGAATATATTTGCAAAGGGAGTTTTCTGTTGCCTGGGCAAATTTCATGTCATATCTCTGTGCTGAAGTCAAGAGGCATTATTTGTCTTGCAATAATGCAAATTACCAGTTCCCAACCAGAGGGCAAAGCCCAATTGATGTGGGTACTAGAAAGCAGTGAGCCAAAAAATACCCAAATAGAAAAACCCCAAGAGTTCATAATCCTACTCTTTTTTTTTTAATGTATTGACTTTTAGCAACAGATCAGTAGCTTTCACTGGATGCTTTTTAATTAGTGTCCTAAAATATTTTAGCTGCAAGTAAGACTGAATCAAATTCAAGTATTGTTCAGGTGTATATGCTGTGTACAAGTTGAAGTCAGTTGCATTTTAACTCTCACTATGTCAAATAGCATTCAGACTTGAAAGGGCTGATGTTAAATGTCAGGTGCTTCTTGTTGTTTTGCTTGGCTTTTTAATTCCAGGCTAAAAAAAAAAAAAGTAACATTTCTCTTTCAAAAAAATAAACCCAAACCAAAACTAGCATTAAATATTGCTGATGCCCTGAGTGTATTAACATCCCTGAGGCAAATGTTCTTTCACTAAGGATGGACACCTCTGTTATCTCTGGTTACCTGCTTGGAAGGTTTTTCTTGAGAGCATCCTGGTGGAACGTGCATTCATGGGTTGCTGCATTAGTATCGCATATGCATAGACCAAAATACAACTGGCCTGTTAAAAGCCAAAAAATGTGCAATGGTTTCAGAGGCAGAGCCTGTGGGCAAAAGTACATTTGAAACCCCTAACTGCAAACTTGCTGTTGGTGTCCTTCCAGTTGTCTTGTTCTGGCTTGACACTGCTTACTTATTTTTATGCATAGTATGTTAGCATTTGACCTTCTCTTTTGCCCTTAGCTGCTCATCACCGTAATTTTCCAAGCCTTTTCTAGTGATTTGTGTTGTGTGAATCATATGACTGCAGCATTGAGCTACCTGCTGTGATGCTCAAGCTGGACTGAAGCATCTGCGCTGGTGAAATCAGGGGAGCAATGAGGAAACCAGGCAGCCAGTGTGGTGGCTTAGCCTCTCCCCTGCTGTGGCTACAGCAGCACTGATGCCCATGGGGTCTAATTTATTTGCTTTCCTCTTGAGCTTTGCTGCCATGGGGTTGGGGGGTCAGGACTGTCCTTGGTGCTGTAGAAGGCAGTTTGAACAGGGCAAACCGATGTGAATGCCTTGGTCTCATGGGCAGTCCCTGGCAGTAAAGGGATGGTGGCACCTTTAAATTGAGCCAGGAGCAGGAAAGAGTTTCAGGCCTTAGCAGAGAACCTGCAGTCCTGTTAGAAAGACTCTGGGTGTAAAATGGAGAGACTTAAATGTGTAAAAGGTTACAAAATGCCCCACTGCTTATGGTACTTAGAGACGGAGGGTTACTTTAATGTTCCTACTGTGATTAGGAAGTGTCTGAAAGCTGTGGGGAATATCCCTGTGATACAAACTTTCTGCCAGTTGATGTGAATAGGAGGAGTTAGGACTCAGGATTTGATAGGACTTGCAAACTGAGCAGTGCTGGGGCACTCTCTCATGGGGTTTCCTTGCCGCTGAACTGTTAATGTGGGGTTTTGCCTGGTTTGATGCAACCCAACCAGCCTATGCAATGGGTGATCCCAGGCAACTCCCAAGCACAGCTTGGAAGGTAGCAACTGGGGAAACCAGCCTGGTTTTGGAGGGTAATGGAGTTCAACTGTGTGAGCTGTGTTGGTTGTCCTTAGGGCCCAAATGCAGACTCTGGCCCATTTTGTCTATTAACAAAGATGTAGCCATCAAGTTTGAACAATGTGTGTTCTGCCAGAGCAGGCCTAAAAGCTCTTACTTTTTGGAGGCAGACTACTAAAAAGCCCAGTCCTAACTTTTTATTTCTTTCCTCAGATTAAATAAATGTAAGGGCTTCTGGTGCTTATTTAGTTATCAATGTCTGAAGTTCTGTGTTATCCTTGGGGGTTTTGTTTGTCAGGGTATTTTGGTAGCAAAAAATCTGGCATGTCATTCTGTATGGAGCTGTCTCTTTGTCGTGCACCATGAAACACATCCTTTCTATGCAACAGTTGTGTAGCAGCGCAAGGACTGATGAAAATGATCAGTGAATGATTCTGGCATAGGGGCTTTTCAGGAGGTGGACATGGAACTGTCCAGGAGAGGGATGGGGAGGAGGCTGAAGGGGAAATGCTGGTTTCCTTTAAGCACTCATTGTGCCTAGGATTATGGATCTTTGTATTGCTGCCTGGCTGGCTAATTGAAGCTACATTGAAATCAACTCAAAGTGCATATTTGCTATCTTATTCTTGTCATATTGTAAAAAAATTGCAATGGCTAGAAACTTAGAGACAGAAAACATCTGGTCCAGCCAAAATTAGAAGGAACATGTATTTCAAAGTATTCTTTGCAGCTAGAAGCTAGGGTTTGAAGTAGCTGTGTAACACAGGGTTTTTTCCAATAAAATGGTTTTACATGCCACTTTAATGGACTTCATTCCACAGCAACAGCTTCAAGAGAAACAGCATAAATAGCTATGCTGTCTCAAAACCCGTTGTGTTTCGAATCGATCTATAAATAAAATCATAGAATCATAGAATGGTTTGGGTTGGAAAGGACCTTAAGGTCATCAAGTTCCAACCCCCATCTAATTCCATCTAGTTCCATAGGCAGGAATGCTTCACACTAGACCATGTTGCCCAAGGCGTTGTCCAGCCTGGCCTTGAACACTTCCAGGGATGGAGCATTCACAGCTTCCTTGAGCAATCCATTCCAGTACCTCACCACCCTTACAGTAAAGAACTTCTTCCTTATATCTAACCTAAATCTCCCCTGTTTAAGTTTGAGCCCATTGCCCCTTGTCCTGTCACTACAGTCCCTGATGAAGAGTCCTTCTCCATCATCCTTGTAGGTTTCATCCTTCAATACTTGAAGTGTTTTCTCCTGTGTTTTCTTCTTGAATCAATTCCTTGATTGTCTCCCCTCTAAGTAAAGAGTGCTAGCATCAGCTCCTTGTGCACTGCCCAGCGGGGTGCCTGCCTGCTGGCCAGGCAGAGGATATACCACACTACTTAAAAGCTGAACACCAGCCCTATGTGAAAGGACTAGAGCTGAGCCTAGCTCTCCTGACTCTTTTTTATGCTCTGAAATTACAGCATTCGCATGTGCAAGTTGGAAGGTATGAATAAAATCATAATCAAAGTGAGGGATTGCCCTTTTTCTTCGTGGTATTAGGGACAGCAGGGCAGTGGGGAAATGCAGACCTCTTGTTGACACCTAGCAATAAATGACTCTTCATTTCTTATGTCTTAAACTCCTCGCAGTGCAGGAGTTTGTCTGACTTTACCATTTCTGTTTGTAATAACCAAATTTTCAGCGTGAAAATCTGCGGAGCGATTCTCTTGACTTGGACAATCTTCTGAATGATATGAAAAATATCTGTTAGTTCTTAGCTCTTTAGATTCACTTTGGGTAGGCCAGAAAAGTAACACTTGGGAAAAAGAGAAAGCCCCAAATCTTTGGCTTAGTGCATTTCCGTTATAAAACGAAGCATGGGTTTTGTGGAATTCTGTGCTGTTCTGGGCTTTTGTGTAAAAGGCTGAAGGCAAATTATTATTTAAACCAGGTGCAAATAAATATCCCTGTAATGTATATGAACAAATTTAAACCGTGTATTGTAAGTATATAAACTGTATATTAAAGACACTATTTTCATGATATTTCAAACGTGTACAGAATTTGTTGTACTAGATTGGTTGGGTTGCACACATTATATAGAATGGTTGGTTTTCAATTCGTAATTTCACTGACTTATCCTCTTGCTCATCTAGCTATAATTCAGAAATGAGCACCTCTCAAATAGTGAATTCACAAAGTAAGATTGGGATAATTGAGAGGAGCAATCAGGCTTTTGCATTTAACCTCTTAAGACACATTACTTCTCCCCATCTGTAATTTCCCTTGATCCCCTTCAGCAAGACTATCGAGCTGTATGTTCCCCAAAG